TTTAAAATGTATATATCTATATATATATATATCTATATATATATTAATCTTGTAAATTTTGATATAAAATTCATACTTTAAGAAAAGTTTAAAGAATCAGAATAGAATCAAAGAGTTGAGATAGTAATAGACTAGTCCCTTAATTAATTTGGCTTTTCTCCTGTCCCATAGCAGAAGATGGCTCTTTTCTTCTGGCATGATACAGGGAGTTTGCATTTTCCTTTTAACAACATGCTTGAGTTTAAAGAAGGAGAGGGACACAGGGAAGAACTGTCAGAATGGACATGAAAAACTGACGTCCTCTACTGCCACACACCAAGTGTGTTGGGCCACCAAACTCACACAACAGACTTTCTCCAGGGAAGCTATTGAAAGCAAAGAAACCGCATGCTCTCACCCTGAAAGACAGAGAAGGGTGGAGAGGAGACCCTCTGTGTTCCATCTGTTAACTTTGAATGGAGGGTCCTATTTCTAAGCAGATGAAGTTTTCCTGTGCCCCTAGAACTCTGTTTTGCCTGGTCCCCCGGAGCCACCCAAATAATGATCTCCACTTTACAGCAGATGACACCAAAACTTTTTAAAAGACCTATTTTCTTTTTTCTCTTTCTTTTTTTATTTTTATTTCATGTGTATTGGTGTTTTTTGCCATGGGTGTCGGGTCCCCTGGAACAGGAGTTACAGACAGTTGTGAGCTGCCATGTGGGTGCTGGGAATTGAACCTGGGTCCTGTGGAAGAGCAGTCAGTGTTCTTAACCACTGAGCCATCATTCCAGCCCCCAAAGACCTATTTTCAATGAGGGGTGTGTGTGTGTGCACAAGTGTGTGAGCATGTGTGTGAGTGTTTTGTGTGCGTGCCTGTGTATGCGTGTGTGTGTGTGTGTGTGTGTGTGTGTGTGTGTGTGTGTGTGTGTATGTGTGTGCATGTGAGCACATTACCCTCAAAAGCCAGAGGAGGGCCTTGAATCCCTGGAGCTGGAGTTGTAGACTGTTATGAGTTGCTTGACAAGGGTGCTGGAACCCAGGCTCAGGTCCTCTGCAAGAGCAGTTTTACTTTTAGCCACTGAGCCATCTCTAGCCCCAGCCAAGACTTCCTCAAAATCACAAAGTTAGTTGTTCTGTGTTTTAATAGCAGCCACAAAAATCAAACCTAGAAACTCCTCCTGCCTCAACTGTGGTTACAGGCATGTTCCACCAAGTCCACTGGAAGAACCAATTCCAGTAAGAAAGGGTCTGTTCTGGCAACCACTGTGCTACGCTGCCCCCTGGTGGCCAGAGTGAGTCAGTACCAACAGTTGAAGGGCATAGAATGACTACACATTGGCTCTTCCTGGATTGTCCCTGCAGCTTCCTTATGGCCACTGAAGGCTGTGATATTAACCAACACAGTTTCCACACCCTACCAGGTCCCACAGCAGGTGACTGCCATGCTGACAGAGGTAAGAAACTACTCAGAATCTGGGCCAAGCCCTTTACATCTCTGTTCCCTGTGTCCCTTCCAGTTCACTGACTATCCGAGAGTTTCCATGTTGTGACAGAACTGCTCCTAATCACTGCATTAAAATACCCAGGATGAGCTGGGCAAGGGGATGCTCACCTATCTTCCCAGCACTCAGGAAGCGGGAGCAGGAGGTCTCTGTGAGTTCAGGGCCACATAGTGAGACCCTGTCTCAAAAACAAAACAACAAAACCCACCAGGAAGGCTGAGGATGTAACTTTTGGTACAGTGCTTACTTCCTATACACAACACTCTGGGTTCTATCCAAGCACTGAATAAAAACCAGCAGGACGGCTGTTGTATTATTTTTTTCCTCAGGAGATGTAAACAAACATTATTCACTTAGATACGGTACTAACAACAGAGAAAAAATTCTGCCCAAATCTAGTTTAGTGAACAAAAGAGTTTCTGAGTGTTACAAGAGTACGGGTGAGGACTTACAGGAGCATGGATGACTCCAGAGCAGCTGCATCACCCAGCATAGGCAACAACCCACAAAACCTGCATCTCTGAAGCTCCCAGCACAATTTGCAGACAGCTCAGCCTGTCTGAGAGTAACTGTCCAGCAATAATGGCTGACTGTATAACCTTGGGGAGGGGCCTCGTGAATCTTGTAAGTTTCAGGAACCTCCTGAGACTTGTGTATTTACTTCCTGGATCTTAATGAGCCTTCCTCGCTCTGGGAGCAATGCAGAAAACATGCAGTTTTTCACACTGGAACCTCTGTCTGTGATACCAAAGCCCTCTTGACCTTGTTATTCAGACTGAACCCTTTTACTGGTGCTTCCCTATTTCCTATGTTGATTGATGTGTCTTTCTCGTCCAGGTCTCAAGCCTGGCTGATTGGCTCTTTAAGTGGTGGATAATTCCCAAAGTACACTTGCCCTTGGGAGCAGTGGGAAAACAGCACAGGGCTGTCAGCCCCCTCCACCGAGGTAGTTCCAGAGACTAAGGTTCCCTCCAAGTAGTTTTGAACTTATTTTTAATGAGGTGTGTGTATGTGTGTGTTTCCCATTTGTTGTATAAATCTCTTTTTTGTTAATCTTATTTATTTTTATGTATGAACACTTTGCTTGTGTGGGTTCATGTGCACCAAGTGTGTGCAGGTGCCTGAGGAGGCCAGAAGTGAAGAGTGGATCACTAGAAGCTGGAGTTTCAGATGGGTGTGAGCAGCCAGACATAGGTGCTGGAAACCAAACCCAAACAATATAATCTTTTTTAAAAAACTCTAGCCGGGCATGGTGGCACACACCTTTAATCCCAGCACTTGGGAGGCAGAGGCAGGTGAATCTCTGAGTTACAGGCTAGCCTGGTCTATAGAGTGAGTTCCAGGACAGCCAGGGCTACACAAAGAAACCCTGTCTCAAAATAAAATAAAATAACAAAACAAAAAATCTAGACACAGTAGTCCACACTTGTAATCCTAACACAAGAGAAGCAGAGACAGGAGGAGCCCTAGCCCTCAGTCTAGTTAACCTATTTGGAGAAATCTAGACTACCTAGAGCAGTAGTTCTCAACTTTCCTAAGTTGAGACCCTGCGACCCTTTAATACAATTCCTCATGTTGTGGTGACCCCCAACCACAAAAATATTTTCATTGCTACTTCATAACTGTAATTTTGCCACTATTATGAACAATAATGTAAATATTTGTGTTTTCCAATAGTCTTAGGTGACCCCTGTGAGAGGGTTCTCTGGCTCCTAAAGGGATTGCCACCCCACCAGTTAAGAACTACTGACCTAGAGAAAGTGGGTGGTATCAGAGCAGTGGCACCTGGGGTTGTCCCCTGACCTGTGCGCACACAAACACACAATCAGTTCCTATAACTTTTAAGTCAGGTGTGGTGGCACACACCTCTAATCTCAGCACTGGGGAGGCAGAGGCAGGTGGATATCGGTGAGTTCAAGGCCACCCTGATCTACATAGTGAAGTGAGTTCCAGGCCAGTCAGGGCTACATAGTGGAAGCCTATTTTAAAAAAGAAAAAATGCCTGATGGTGGTGGCACATGCCTTTAATCGCAGCCAGGCAGATCTCTGTGAGTTCGAGGCCAGCCTGGTCTACAGAGCAAGATCCAGAACATGCACCAAACTACACAGAAAAACCCTGTCTCGAAAAAACCAAATAAATAAATAAGAAAAGAAAAAAAGAAAAGCATATACTTTTTAAAATAAGTGGTAAAGAAATGCCACAAATATTAGCCCCCTCCCCCCTCCCAAAAAAAGCTGCCATGCAATCGAATTAAAGAGGAGGCAGAAAATGATGAGGTATGGTAGGCAGACTCAACTACAACTCAACTCCAGTACTCAAGAGACTGAGACAGGAGGTCTGCAAGTTCAAGGCCAGCTTGAGCTACATAGTAATGTTGAGGGATATTTGATCACACTGTGAACCCCAAGTTTGCATTTGTGTTAATTAAATAAAATTAACCTTGGGTCAGGAGGCTGAGTTGGCAACTAGTTGGCAGAAAGGAATCATAGATCATCAGAGGGTATCCAGGAGAGACAGACACAGGAAGTAGTAGGGTGGGGTTTGGAGTTGCTTCCTGGTTTGGGGAAGCAGAAGCATAGGTCTTTTGGAGATGCCGGCAAGGAGGTCAGCTAATTGTGACCCAGCCTCTCTGGGCCACCAGGTTTTCACCCCAGCCTTTGAATCTTGAGTCTTATTTATAAATAGAACAATGGAGATTCAGTTAAAGCTACTTTTAGTAGCAGCAACAGAGCAGGCGCCTGTGGGAACAGAATTCCCGCCAAGTCACTGCTAGAGAAGCAGGCCGGTAACTGCAGAGTTGCAATTGCTGGTTGAAATAGCAGTAGATTAGCCGGGCGGTGGTGGCGCACGCCTTTAATCCCAGCACTCGGAGGCAGAGGCAGGCAGATCTCTGTGAGTTTGAGGCCAGCCTGGGCTACAGAGTGAGTTCCAGGAAAGGCTCCAAAGTTACACAGAGAAACCCTGTCTCAAAAAATTTAAAAAATAAATGAATGAGTTAATTAAATTAAGGTGCTAGTTTAACTACTTAAATTGATTTAAGAAATATTAAGGTCCACGCCTCAAAGCCACATGTGTTTCTAAGGTGTAAGTTTTAAGTCCTGTTAGAGTCCGCAGAACACCCTACTAAACAAAGACCACCACCCACATAGGCAATCAACAAGAGCGCTGTTTATTCCAGCTGCGATCCCCACCCCCAACCCCAAGCATGCTCCTTTTATAGGCAGCCAGGAGGGGATGAGGTAATCCTGAACATGATTGACTGGGGCTCCTTTTCCTGCTTTAACAGGGTATAGAAATCGGAACATAAACGAAATTAAAACTTAGGCCTAGTGGAGGCTGGGCCAGGAGAAGCCTAGCCATGGGGTTGCTGTGGCCCGCAGTTTCCTTCCTTGGTAGTTTTCAACGTGCATCTTGAAGCCTTCTCCTTCCTCGGAGGCACATTCAAGGTGTGAGTGGTGTTCCCAGGGCCCTTACAGGAGGCACCCCTTGTGCGACTCAGCCTCCCTCCTTCCTAGGTCATCTAGCCACCCCTTGAAATCTCCCGGCCTCCACTGTCTGGTCTTGTTTCCTCGGTCTCCACAACAGCCAGAGCTTCCTGCGGTCACACATGTGCGGCCTCCTCCGTGGCTTCTGCCTCTCCTTTCCTCTCAGCTGTATGTAAGCACCTCAGCTCAGCTCCAGATCCCTAACTGGGTTCCCGGATTCCTTCCTGGTACTTACACCATGTTACCCTCGGCCAACGGGCTCCTCGTTCAACCCAGGCTTTTCACTGGTCACTACACACTCTGAACTCCAGGGAGGCTTCTGGGCCCACGTGCCAGACCAGCCCCATAAGGCAGGTAGGCTGAGGTCTAACTGGCACCTTGTGTGTGTGTGTGTGTGGGGGGGGGGGCATTTGAGGACCCTTGCGGGGATGGGTCAGGAGTGCTGGAGCGAAACCCAAGGGTCCTTGAAGTCAACGAGGGGGGCATTATGGACTGGTGTTGCATTTACTGGGGGACACTGGGGACAGGGTGGAGGCTGTTGGAGTTGACTGGGGGCCGTTTATGTTAACTCGGGGCAATTGGACCCAGGCGGGGGTCTGAGTTGACTGCGGGCCATTGGAGACAGGCCCAGGACGGTTGGGAACAGAGGGGTGTGGCTAGGAACTGACTTCCGGCCTTTGGGGACAGGCTGGCGGGTATCTGGATTGGGCTGGGCGCTGTCAGAAACTAACCGGTGACCGTTGGAGCTGTTGGGGCTTGGCAGGTGACCATTAGAGACAGGAACTGTTAGGACCGATCTGGAGACACTGGGAGCCGGCTGGGTTGGGGTCACTAGGAATGCATGAAACCCAGAGGGAGGCCAAACGTGTGCCTTGGTTGGATCCTCCAGGACCACAGAGGCCGGAAGATGGGAGCCAAGGAGCAGGCGCAGCGGAGACACATGCCCACCACAGAGTCCTGCCCCGGTGGCCTCAGCCCAACCTGGACCCTCGAGGGGTGAGGAGGAATCCAACTTCCCACCCAACTGTGGAGCCCGGGCTGATGGGCGAGAGCATCCAGGGCACAGAGAGGCAAGCCTGGAACTCAGCAAAGCCTGACCTGCATGGGGCTCAGCTGGTCCCCGAGTCACGGAGCTCGCCTACGCAGATCCAGGAAGCCCCCGTAAGTGGGCTGCTGCATCCACAGGAGAAACACAGGGTCTTGGGTTGGACTGAGTCTCCTGTTGTACTGTGGATGTTTCCGGATCTGTGCGAACACAGACTACAGTATTAGAAGTCTGGACAGGGCCGGATCACCTCTGACTTCTTTCTCTCTACACCTGCGAGTGTTAATCCAGGTAGCCTGGGCCAGCTGTGAACCTTGTCCCCAAGTCCGGGCCTAGGCCAGTGCTGCTCCATGTCAGGAGTGTGCATGTATGTAGACGAGTTTGAGCTAAGCATGCGTGTGTGTACATGTGTTTGTGTGTACATTAAGCATGTGTGCTAGAGGTCACTGAGTCGAGTAGAGGGTGTCAGATTCCCTACAGCCCTCTGTAAGAGCAGCGAGTGCTCTTAGCCACTGAGCCGTCTTCCCAGCCCCAGGAACCTCCCTTTGATCCAATGACAGTGGCTTTCAGAAATGCTGTCCTTGTTCCCTAGGCTGCAGAGCGGCTCATGAGCTTCTCTGTGTACACTGTTGGGTGGACTCTCAGGTCCTGATGCCAGGCTTGTTGTTGGCGGATGACAGTGAGGCCAATGTGACAGTAGCAAAGGCAATGTGATTAGAAAGTGGTGGATTGTGTGGTGTTTCTGTAAAATCAACGCCTGGCTGTCTTGATAATATGACTCAGAAACCACCCCCAAAACACCAGAGGTGCCATCGGCAGCCATGCAGCTCCCAGCCAGGCTGCCTCCTGCCTCCAGCCATGTAGCCCACCCCAGGATAGCTAAGCCTGAGGGAAGCTTGAGCTAAGACTGGATGTTGGGAAGATCTATAACCTACAAACCTGGTTCAAGTCTCTGTTCTTCCTTCCCACCCCCACGTCTCTCACCTGACCATACTGTGAGTACTGAGTTGGAGAAGACCCGGTGAGATTTCTAAAGAAGTTGTCCAACTTTTAAAAGGAATTTTAAGAAGTTTATTGTGGGTTCCTGTGAGGCGGCCAGAGGACAACTTGCAGGAATCCAGTCTCTACTTCCACCGTACAATCCTAAGGATGGAATTCAGGTTCCCAGGCTTGATGAGAGGTACTTTTAGTGGCTGAGCCATCTCAGTGGCCCAGTCAACACATTTTTTAACATGGACCCCCCTTTAAAGAGTCACTCTTGGGGACAGCATGAGAGACTCTTGCTTTGTTCTCCCACACTCTCTGACTCTTCTCCTTTCCCATCCACAGGCATCACTCCAGGCCTTTGACCTAAGATGGTTATGGGGACTCAGGACCAACCTTCTCTCTGACCCTCACACCCCAGGGCCAGTGCAGCAGAAGGAAGGCCGTGGGAAGTGGCCCTGCCATGTCTGAATTCAGGAATTAATGAGGGAGATGGTCAAGTTTTCAAGAGTTCGGTCCCCACAGTGCTGTTCCTGGTTTGCTTTCTACATGGAAAAGGCCCAGAACTCATGCCCTAAAGAGAATCTGTCCAGGCCCCTCAGCATCCTTTGCCTGGCACCTCCTTTCTTCAGGAAGTGTATTCCTAGACAAGGACTCAGCACACAGCTCCCTGCCCTTCCCAGTACTGGCTCTTCATCCTGGCGAAGGGTATGTGAACAGAAATCCACAGTTCCGTGTTTATGACCAACTCATAGAACTAAACTGTTTTGTTCTTACACATTTTTTATCTTTAGCCTACCAATGACTTGGGCCTTAAGATTTCCTGACATTTGAAGTCTCTCTGCTCCGTATTTATGAGACCATCACCCATGGACAGACAATTCTTGTTTTACTCGACAATCCCAAGCTCAGAGAAGGGACAAGAGGAAGTGAGCGGACAGTCACGGTGCTGCTGTTTCTGAGAAACAAGGAGAAAGGCTGGCAGCTTTGTGTGCCCACCCCAAGCTGTGCCCTGGGGCTGGCAGGTTAAAGTGGCGTCCTTTCTCCTTGAACCTTGGGTAGATCCTACGGTAGAAGCCGTGAAGGGTCCAGAGTCAAATTCAGCGGCAGCTTTTCTTAGTTCTCTAGTTTTTTATGTATTTTGGCCATTTCCCAAGTGTTTATCTCTCTTCAGTTACAGCACCATGTTAAACAGCCGTTGCTGTTTGCCTAATTGAAATACAAAATCTGGGAACACATGGCGAAGCAATGTACTTGCTCCTGGCAGTGGGGTTTGCAGTTGATTGCAGCTCGTCCTCAGTCCATTCTGGTTCTTTGCACTAGAGAGCCATCACATTCTACCCAGATTTTAGCTGCCCTGCTTGAGGTAGTCTGAGGTCTACCCTGTGCTAGAAAGTGTGAAAGGCAGGAAGAACTGCCCCCAGGGACTTCCTTCCTGGTAAGTCAGTGTCCTCCAGAAAAGACTTGCCTTTATTCCTTCCCCACTACCTTCTCCCCATTATTTTCTCATTTCTCCCCCCTCAGAGTTAATTGTTATGTGCTCCTGATAGGAGCAGCTTGACCGTTATGGTCACAGTCTATTAGCTAAATATGGGTAGACAGAAAATTCCTGCACTGCTGCGGAATATTTGTACACTATGTGAAGATGTGTTGCTATGATTGGTACAATCAAGAGCTGAATGGCCAATAGCTAAGCAGCAGGTATAGGTGGGACTTCCAGGGACAGAGAGGACTCTGGGAAGATGAAAGGTGGACATGCCAGGAGATGCAGAGCAAGCAGGATGTGCAGGAAGAGAGGTAACAGCAGCCATGAGACATGTGGCAGAATGTAGATTAATATAAATGGGTTAATTTAAGTTATAAGAACTAGTTAGAAACAAGCCTAAGTAAGGTATAGGCCAAGCCTTCATAATAAATAAGTCTCTGTGCCATTATTTGGGAGCTGAAGGGACATAGAAAGACCTGTTATGTTACATTTGTTCCCAATGCATGCCATGTAAATCCACATAAGGCCTGAGAAAGCTTGAAAAAAAAAAAAGGTTCCAAGTAGGCTCAGTGCTTACAGCCTACACAGGCGTGGCTACCAAGCACTTGAATGGGGTTTATGAGCAGCAGGTGGTGCACTACTTGGTGGCGGGAGACTAGGTAGAAGTGCCTACAGGAGCTGGGGCAGATAGACTGGCTCCAGGCCAGGGCCACAGGCATGAGGCTCCTCTCTCACTGACCCGAAGTGGGCGGCCACATGCTAAGCAGAGTCACATAGCAGAGGCCTAGCCACCGCCTAGCAGTGAAAGGTTTGGCTCATGGTCAGAAAAGGCTGCAGATACGCAAAAAGTCAGGTCCAGACTGATTAAACCTCTAAACAGGTACAGTAAGCTTAAAAATGTGCTTAGATGCTGAAGAAAGAAAAGAAAATGGGTATGGACAGTCATAGAAAAAGTTTTAAAATAATAAAGTGAAGTCTTTATAAAGAAAGAGTAAAGTAATATAAAAAGGATAAGTCACATACGGATGGGAAATACTATAACACAGGGAGTTTGGGCCTTATATGGTGTTTTGTTAATTTTTTGAATGGTAATGAACAGAAAACACCAACTGCTGAGAGACATTTTATTGTGGGAGGGACTGCCAAATTAAACCAGACTACATACTTTTAGGGATGTCTTAACTTTAGAATGGAAGCCAGAAAACGTTGGGGGAGAGGTTATGTTTGTTTCCACAGAAAACGAAAAGCTGTGGATTCCTTCAGAATTAATAGACCAGAATTGATCGGGGGCAACCTCCTGAGGACCTTGTCTAGAGATGTGGGAAAAAGCCAAAAAAGACTACAGGACAGGTGACTTATATGCTGATTCCTCTGCATGGGAACAGCTCTGAGAATAGATGAGACATGATAAACCTTGTTAGCTACAGAGTTATGATTTATTACATACCATCCTTTCATATGGCATGGATAGAAAGGAGCCCAGGTGATCCAGCCTCTCCAAGTGCCTGTTAGTTTCCTCAAAATTCTGCATCCAGAACAACTTCAAAGCTGCTATCTCAGATGGTCTAGCCTCACAGACTACTCCAGCCAGACCTCATAAGCTCTACACTTTCTCATCAAATAGACTAAACAAAAAATAACACAGCTAGCCCTCCCAGGCCTTGACCAGTGAGTGGCGAGTGGGACAGCTGGTGGCAGGCGTGGCCACCAGAGCAGCCTGGGTCTCTTTTGGCTCTCTAGTTAGGGCTACCTTTCAGTTCCTGAAGGAAGCACCTTGCATTTTGCTTCTATTTGTGTTGTGTGAAATGGCACTTGCCATTCATTTACCTAATAGGAACAGAAACAGATGATACGAAAATGCTCAGACCCATGGTGATTATGGGCAGTGGTCAGGTGGAACCTGGAGACTTGATGCAAAATTTTAATGTCTTAAAATGTCCCATGTTTGGGTTGGAGAGATGGCTCAGCCATTAAGAGCACTGGCTGTTCTCCAGAGGTCCAGAGTTCACTTCCTAGCAACCCACATGGCGCATCACAACCATCTGTAATATGTTGCCCTCTTCCGGCCTGCAGGCATACATGCAAGCAGAACATTGTATACATAATAAATCTTTACTAAAAGAAGTCCCCCATTTTAATGCCGTTAAGTACAAGGGACATCAGTATGTGGCTCTCTCAACTGCTTTGGCTTCCTTCCAAACTGTGAAACAATGGCATCAAGAAGAAATGTCCCAGAAAGTCCAGACCAAGGTTGACAGTGTGTCTATATTCTTAAGTCGTGTAGCTCAGACTGGAAGCTTCTGTGTCCTCATCCCAAAGGCTCTCAGCTGAACTGCTGCTAGAAGCCTGAATGCTTAACCAGCCAAAATGCTTAACCAGGCCAAATGCTGCTAGTTTCTGGTCCTCACGCCTTACATACCTTTCTGCTTTCTACTACCACTCCCTGGGATTAAAGGCTCGCTTTCTGGGATTAAAGGCGTGTGTCACCATGCCTGGTCTTTCCAATGTGGCCTTGAACTCACAGAGATCCAGAGGGATTTCTCTCTGGAATGCTAGGATTAAAGGTGTGAGTGCCACCATTTTCTAGCCTTTGTATCTAGTGGCTGTCTGTTCTCTGACCCCAGATAAATTTATTAGGGTTCACAATATTTTGGGGAACACAATACTACCACACGGGTATTTAAATACTTTGTCTTTGGCACACTGGTTTCTCCTCAGAATGCATCATCCCACCTTTTTTGCTGTCTCATGTAACCTTGTCCATTTTTAAAAAGTATTTTCTAGGGGGCTGGAGAGATGGCTCATGGGTTAAGAGCACTGGCAGCTGTTGCAGAGGTTTTGAATTCAATTCTCAGCAACCACATGGTGGCTCACAACCATCTGTAATGAGATCTGGTGCCCTCTTCTGGCCTGCATACATGTATGCACACAGAACACTGTATACATAATAAATGTATATTCTTTGCCTAAATCCTAAATTAAGATTTTGTTAAGAACTTATATTTCAGGGGCTGGAAAAATGGTTCAGCTGTTTCTTCCAGAGGACTGAGGTCCAATTCCCAGCACCCACATGGCAGCTCACAACTGTAACTCCAGTTTCAGGGGATCTGACCCCCTCAAACAAATGTGCACTTAAAAAAAAAAAAAAAAAAAAAAAAAGCAGACACTTGTGTTGGTAAATAATGCCAAACCGTACCAATCTCTACTCCCACCAGGGACTACATACGAAGAGACCTTTGTTCCTATAGTCTGGTTTTACCCAGCTTTTTGTTTCTGGCCGATTTGCAATGTAATACAGCCCTTAATAATCACCTTAATGCTACCTAGCTGGACAGTAAGATTACTTCTGCAGGCTAGCTGGATCCGGCTGGAATGCCTATCTCTTACAGGACACTGCCCAGCAGCTGAGGAAATCCTTCCATTCCCCTAACACCACTAAGGTTTGGTCAAACAGTGGTCCACTCTATAGCAGTGCAAGCCCTCAAACCTAACTGAACGCTTTCCCTCCATTTGATGAGGCATGGTAAAACTCAGGATGTTACTATTACAAGCAAGGAGTGTGGACCTTAGTGATCCAGCAGCTGGTGCTTTCTTCTTAAAATGTTCCATCAGATGACAGAACTGACCACTTATCTTTCTCATCCTGTCACTGTTGGTAGCCAGCACTTAAGTTTTTTCTTTTTCCCTTGGCTGCTTTCAAGACACTTTTTGGTTCAGGGATTTCTGTGATTCTTGACAACAGCCCAAGGCAGGTTTGTAAAAACAATGTTAGGAACAGAGTATCTTTTGGGTTTTTTTTTTTTTCTGAGACAGGGTTTCTCTGTGTAGTTTTGGTGCCTGTCCTGGATCTCTCTTTGCAGAACAGGCTGGCCTTGTACTCAAGAGATCTGCCTGGCCGCCCTGCTCTATTTTGGATTTTTTTTAGGTATACAGTATTCTGTCTGCATGTGTCCTTGCAGGCCTGAAGAGGGCACTTTACAGATCTCATTACAGGTAGTTGTGAGCCATGTGGTTGCTGGGAATTGAACTCATGACCTCTGGAATAGTCAGTGCTCTTAACCGCTGAGCCATCTCTCCAGCCCCCTAAACTTACAGGTTGGGCCACCATTCCAACATCTATTTTCTAGTTCACAAAACCCCTCTCCAGCATGCTGATCCTACTATTCATACCTAAATTGCTAGTTTTAACAGATTTTGAAGCAGCCATTATATGGCCCAGCATTCCTCACACCTGTGCAGACCTGGTCAGAGGGACCCTTTGGACTTTACTTAAGGGTATGTCTTTCTTTTACCAAATTCAGGGGTCAGTACTTCGGTGGTACAATGTCTTCCATTGAGGACATGCTGAGAAGTTCTAGGAATCCTGATTGCTCCAGCAGGAACCACTGGTCACCCAGGCAACAGATGCTTAAACTGTACTGTGGAGTCCAAGGAGGCTCCTCTAGGTTTTCTTGGCTCCCACTGGATTTTCTCATCTTGTTTCCTTTTCTGCAGCCTGATGTCTGTAACTCAAGCCTCCATCTCCACACCTCTGCTCACTGCTGTATCCTGGGTGCTTAATAGGTCTAGTATAAAAATTTGAGATTCTTGGATCACTATAGGACTATTCCTAAATCTAGCGTGCATCTAGATGATGCATAGGTCAGAAACTCCAAGTTCACCATGGGACAGGAAGTAGAACAAGCACCTATACCCCACCTGTCTACGTTCTTCTCCTTCAGCCTCCCAGTGCTGCACTTAGAGACTACCACCAGGCCCATCTAGATGTGCTTCTACAGGCAAAATTTATGTCTCAAGTACCTATGAATATTTAGTCAAGTGCAGAAAATCTCCACATCAAAATTACAAAAACAGAACTTGTAGACTGTTAAACAGACAGCATTGCTCAAGATCATAAAACCACTGCAAGTCTAGGCTGTTGTGGGGCAGACGTCTACACCCAGCCTGGTGCCAGTGGTAAGCTTAGTCAGTTACAGCATACCATAAGCAGCACTTAGTATTCTTCAAAGCTTACACCAGCAAGAGAAAAAAGCTAAGGAGATATGCTGAGTTTCACTTGCTTCTCCAAAGAACCAGAGTTCTGTTCCCAGGACTCAAGTTAGGAAACTCCAAATACAGTGGATCTGATGCCTTCACACTTTAAAAAAAAATCCCTATTCTGCTTATCTTAGAAGTCTGGAGCTTCAACCTACTTACTGGCTCCATAGTCACAAGTGATATGACACATGTCAGCAACTGGTAGCACCAGCAAGTGCAGCTCTGCCTTCAAGACACTTCTCCATCACCCCAGCAGATCTATGCTAGCACAGTACAAACAGCATCAGCAGACCAGCACAGATTTGCTGCCAAAAACAGTGAGGCTGCTACTGCTTGGGTATTACTACCTCAGGACTATAGGACAAGTTCTGCATGGACTGACATAGTGTTCATGTTAACTGTTATGGGACACAAAACCCCAGTGGCACAAACCTTAAGTCTACACCCCAGAAGAAAGATCTCTGCATCTGAGGGAAGTCAGAACACAGACCCTGTATAAACACCACACCCAGATAGATCTCCCCTATGCAATTTCCACATAGGCCCCAAGCAGCTTGTTATCCTAAAGACAACCTCAAAGCAACCTAGATTTAAAGTGGACCATGAATGTGCTCTAACTGTATTTTACAAACACTCTTCTAAAGCCTGTTCACAAGCTGAGGTATGTAACACAGACCAGGTCACTAGCCCCTCCCCCAAGCCTGTGTATTTACTTCCATTCCCTCAGCATCTTTTACACTCCAAAAGCCACCCCGGCCCCAGTATGGAGTAAAGACCTCAAGAGACAGCTCGTAGGAACTTTATTTTCCTTCCACCTTTTTTCCCTTTGCTCAGGTGTCTGCAGAGGAGCTCAGGACCACTCAGTGGTGGCTCCAACCCACTCGGTGGCCTGCGCTGTAGGAGCTGCGGACCAGTCCTCAGTGGCTGGCTGGGCACTCCAGTCTTCTATTAAAAAAAACAAAAACAAAAAACCATCAGTTCTAGGAACAGAGTACTACTTTCCCCAACCCAACCCAACCCAACCACCAAGTGTGAAGACATATGCATCCATCCATCCTCCCAGAGAGGAACAGCCCACAATGCAAGGTCAGACAACAGCCTCAGGTTCCCTAGCAGCCCGATGCCCTGGCCTGGATACCTACCAGTAGGGAACTGCTGGATGGGTACAGAGGGCACCTGTACACCCTCAGACCAGTCTGCCACCTCTGGCTGAGCAGCAGTGAACTCAGGAGCTGGTGCAGTCCATTCACCCTGGAATTCCTCCTTGGTCACAGCCTTCTCAGCAGCGGCCTGTTCCTCCTTCTCAATCTAGTTTTTAAAAACACAAATTTAGCTTCACTGAACCAGATCAAAGCACCCCATTCACTTAGTGGCAACAAGCATTTGCAGTGTAAGCCTTACCTCCTCTGGGTCTCTGTAGAAGTAAAGATCAGGCATAACTTCCCATGGGTGCTCACGGGAGATAGTGCCACGCATGCGGAGTACTTCCCGGGCCAGCATCCACCACATCAGACCCACTGAGTGCGCTCCCTGAAAGAGTGGAGGGTCATTAACCACCAGTCAGCACAAACACAAACCTGTCCCCACTCACTTTACTTGCCCTGTACCCACCCACCGGGCAGCTCACTACCTGAGGGCACAGGAGCACATACATGCAGGCAAAACTCTCATACACAAAATAATAAACCCCCAAATTACTTAAAAACAATCATTCAGGAGAAAGCACAGGCCTTAAGCTTGTAGCAAAGGTTACTATCAAACTCCACTCACGGGAACAGAGTGGGGTGTTAGCGAAAACCTTGCCGCTCGTTTAGCACACTACCTACACTTGGGAGTTCATCGGCCAGTTTAGGACCTCAACTCCAAGCTCTAACAATGTGCAGAGGAACTTGAGGGTTTTCCCAGAGTGCTCACTCATCAACTCTCCACCAGAGCAAGTACCTTATTGTTGCATGGGATGGCAATGTCCACATAGCGCAGAGGAGAGTCTGTGTTACACAGCGCAATGGTGGGCAGGTTGACATAAGACGCCTCTGTGAGGGGCTGGTGGTCAGCTCTGGGATCAGTCACCACTAGAAGCCGCGGCTCCCTGAAGGCTGCTTGGATCTGGTTAGTGAAGGTCCCAGGGGTGAAGCGGCCAGCAATCGGAGTGGCTCCAGTGGCGGCAGCAAACTTCAGCACAGCTCGCTTGGAAGGGAGACTGAGTCAGCATTTCCAAGCTTGGTTTCGTAGGAACTGTTGATACCCACTCTAGTCACAAGCCACCCTTCAGACACCAAAGCAGCACTTCCTTGAGCACACTCTTCTCAGGCTAACTGTAACACTTGCACACCCCCATCTCATGTAGTCTGAGGAACCCAAATCACCTATGCAGCAGGTCACTGTTGGTGATTTCAAGTCACTTTACATGTCCCAAGTCTCTCAAAGGACAGTGACAGGTGCAGCAAACACCTCTGGCTTCTCACTAAATTCCTATCAGGACCCAAGGCAAGCATATCTTCCTTCTCCTCTAGAAAACACTTTTTTGTCTTATATTTGAGTGGTTTTACTTGCAATGTATACAAGTACATCACCCACGAGCATGGAGATGGGGGGGTTGGATCCCCTTGAACTGGAATGTGAGTGCTGGCAGCTGTCCCCATTTTGAGGGGTACACAGGGTTCCCATCTTTGTGGCTTTGACATTCACAATGCCTATACTTCTCATCCCAGTGATTTCCTGACACCCTCCAAGAGATGATCCTTTCTGCTTTATTCAAGCACCTAAACACTTCCTGCCAGGTAACAGTATATTCTATCCTGTTCCGTAACACAGGAGGTCTAGTCAAGTCCACTCTTGAGGAACCACTTGCTAGCACACTCACAGGGCCCTTACTGCAACATTAAAACAGAAAAGTCTTGCTAGAATTTAAGTCCCTCAGAACCTATGAATTGCATTTTCACTGACTCAGCCATCCTACATAAGAAAAATATCCATTTCCTTAACAGAAAAGATACACTTCACCTCACTTTTTACAACTGAGACACTTAAGTTAGCAAATAAGAACTCTGAAGAACCTGGACAAACCTTTACAAGGACCAGGCTCATTACCTTCCTTTTAAATCAGAAGTAACAAAAACAACTTTTTGCTTGTTTTTTGAGATGGGGTTTTTCCTGTAGTTTTGGTGCCTGTCCTGGATCTCACTCTGTAGATCAGGCTGGCCTCAATCTCAAGAGATCCGCCTGGCTCTGCCTCCTAAGTGCTGGCATTAAAGGTGTGCGCCACCACACCCAGCCAAAAACAATGTGTTAAGCACACAGCACTGTCTGAGGGATGTAGGACTGTTTCCTGCATGGTTTGCCTCCTCATTCATTGTCCATAGACTCTGAGAAGTTGTAGGAATATGCAGGCGCAGGCACCAAGCCCAGCTTCATCTCCAACGTTGTGGAAAGGGACTGTACATCACTGGACAATGCCTATGTTCCCCCACGCCACTAGGACAGAGCCCAGGTAGAGTGACCTCCTGGGGTATCCACGTTGGAACGCCTCTACTCTTCTACATACTTCCAATGTCTTTTGTGGATTAACCTCCATTCTACAAACCTGCCCAGTGTTCCTGGAGGAGATGACGCTGACATCAGCAGGGTTCTCAATGGCAACAATAGCACGGGCTGCAAGCAACAGCTTCTCCCAGGTCCTCTTCAGATTTATGATGTAGATACCTAGGTGAGAACGGTGGAAGGGCGGGCGTTTTCAAGAGTTTGTCACCCTGGCACTCACTCTGCAGACCAGGCTGGCCTAGAACTCAGAAATCTACCTGCCTTCCATATGTTACTGACAACAAATGAATTTTAAAGGGGCTGTTAGGGATTGACCCCAGTGCCCCAGATAGGTCTGCTAACAGCCTAGCTGCGCAAATAGACACTCTGTAGGAAGGCAAACAGTATATGTGGCAGTGACCACTATCAACTCCAGTCATAGAGGCACGCTCTACTGGTGTTAGCGAAAATCCTGCCTCGTTCAATGTAGCACACTTCCGACACTCACAAGTTCACTGGCCAAGCGTGGCCTCCACTCTGAGCTTTAATAGTGTGCAGTTTCAGTTCCATCGGGTACCACCGCATGCAGATCCAATCCATCCTACCAACCCCTCACAACACTCCAGTATCTCAATTAACTGGTAAACTCACTACCCTCCGCTTCTCACAACCCATCCCGCCAATCTTTCTCAGGTTATCCTCACATCTCATTCTACTTCCCACTAAACCCACATAGTCGATGCCTATGACACTGTCTGTGATACAGAATGCACTCTAAGAAATAATATTACCCGACCTCTTACACACCCTCCAGGATCCAACCCAACCCAGCAATTGTAGTATCCCTCCAAACGACATCAGAACATTCAGTATCGGTACTAGCCCAAGGCATCCACCACCCACAACAGTGTAGTCAGAAGCTTTAAAGAAATTTACCCCAATTATCAAAAGCGGTAACTGACCATCACTTTTCCTTTTGTAGATGTACTGCTCCATCTGAAAGTCAAGGTTGGTGCCACCTAAGTGGGTTCCTGCAGCAAGGAATTTGAGGACATCCTCCTCCTTCATCTGCAGGACATCAAGGGCTCCGGACATTGTGTAAGTTTCCCTTTAAGTTACGACGGGAATCTGAAAAAGAAATAATTCATCTGGGTTTTCTCTCCCTTTTCTGAGACTAGGGTCTCAATGTGGCCAGAGCAGTCCTAGCACTCACAGAGATCCCCCTGCCTCCCGAGAGCGGGGATTAGAGGCGTGTGCCGCCAGGCTCGGCAGGTGAAGCTGAAGTGGGGTGTATTCTTATTCCTATCGCTTTCAACTTCTCTGGTCACCTATCACACTGCATTAGGCCTTCCAAGTAAGTGGCTTTGGTAGCAGGGAAAACAGCCGATTGGGAGTTAACGCTTCCGCAGGCACACGGGAACTAAGGGAAAGTTTGACACGTTACGGAGTCGTGCAAGGCCAAGCCTGTCTGGGGTGTCCGGGTTATGTGTTTCCAGATGTGACCGGCAGCTCCGGACCCATCTCCCCGCGCCTCACAAGCACTTCCCCAGCACCCTGCCGACAGGGCCTCGGGACGGCGCCCGCCCCACCTCACTGGAGGCCGCCACGTGGCCACGCCACCGCCGGGAGCGAAGCCGCTCGGGTAGACGCGGCCTCGGCACCCTGGGCAGCCGGCACGGGGCGGGCGGTCGAGCCCGCGGCGTCGGGCGGCACCGAGGAGCCCACGAGAGACTCACCAAGAACAACGCCGTATGGACCCGTCCCAGAGTAGCGCGGAAAGGACTGGCGGCCGGAAATGACGTCCTTAAGTACCCCCACAGCCAGCCAATAGCAAAGCAGATTAAGCGAAAAGAGGGCAGACCTTTCGTTTCAGAGGGAGGCGGCGGCGCATGCGCAGACTCGGCAAGCGAGTAGGCTACAAAGCCGAGGAGCGGAAGTTGAAATGGCCCGCGCCTGGCCCTGCTCTGGAGAGCGCATGCGGGCCGGAAGTAGCCGGCTGACCGGGGTGCAAGGTTCGCTAGTCTCGTTGGAAGGTCTTTGGAAATCAGGTCTGGGTACAGCAAGCACAACCTGGAGGATTGCACGTGCTCTCTGGAGGACGAATTACCAACGCGCAATTCAGACTTTTATCTCTGTGTT